CTTGTGTGTGTTTGCTGACTTGCTTCTCGTCCCCTACGGCATCGCCGTGTGTGATGTTGCCGCTCTTATTCTCCGAATGCGACTCTTCATGCGCCACGAGTCCTGACGAACCCGATATCTGGCGCGCGAGAATTCCCGTTGCTATTACGGGAAACAGTGAAAACTTTTTCCATGCTGCTGGCTTCGTCCGAACGCCGAGGAGTCGCCTTGTAAAGAACCCTGGGGTTGCTTTCGACCCTCTGTCTAGCTTCTACATCGTAATCCTGAGCCAGATCGAAGAAAACCCCAGAGAGAAAAGCGCACGGGAGGCTGGTCAAGGTACCTGGGCCGTACCCAGCATGGGGGCAGCTACCTGTGGAATGACGGCCGGGTAGCGCCAGCGCCAGTCTTCACGCAATTTTGATAGCTGTGGGTACCTGATCAAAGCACTCGCAAGCTGTTGCGAGCTTCCTCTGGAGATGCTTAGTCAGAATGACGACAGTCTTTGCGGGGTTGACACTCCAGCTCCCCAGACTCTGTCTGCGAACTCGCAGTGTTGCTTTCTGGGGTGACCTGTCAGGAGATTGAGCGAGTAAAGAAACGCGCGTGCACGGCGTCCAATCAGTGTAAACAATTCGAGCGAGCTGCAGACTTCGAGCCTTGTCCTGCAACCCTCGATTCAGAGTTGCTGTTGCTTGCGATGGCGTTTTTGCCAATTTCTATTTGTCCTTCGTTCTGACCGAGCAAAATTTCCCGGTACCCCCAACTGTCGTGTCTCACTTGGAAGTTTTTTCCTCTTCCCATCTCGCCACAGTCTCTCACTAGCTATCCTAAGACACAAAGTTCCAAGGCATCGCGGGAGTCTTGTTTCCATCTCGCCTTGCAAACTCAGCCCCCAATGGCCAAGATCGTGAAATGGTCCACGAATGCGTCCGGATACACCCGCCAGACGACGATCCCTTACATCACCTACTGTGTTGATCTTGCAAAACCTGGTTGTCCGGGAATCGGTCTGTGACATTCCTGTCACTGACATCTCAACCATCGCTAAGGTCCCGCCCGAGCCAAGTTGACATGTCGATCTAGGCCCTCGTCATGTCATTCAATTGAGCCTTTTGCGATTCTCAGACGTCCGAGGGCTGAGGCATCGTCGGTTCAAGTGTCACACTCCACAACTGCTACATATCTGAAAACCAAGCTGTTGTCTCCATTCAAGATTCATCACCCCGTTCTATGAAGTTAGGCACCGATGCCCGAGTGCGGCATCTGAGGCTAAGCATACCCGCCCTCCACTATTACTGCAACCGTATACCTTCATACCGATAAGCTGGGACTTTAGCCAGCCCCGCGAAACGACGAAATATATCTGTAACGGTTTCGACCGTTGTCCTTTGACCCGATTCGTTCTTATTGAACGTATTCCCGCTGACACGGATGCGGACAATACGATCGCTTCATCTCGAGATCACGATAACACCGACCTCTCTTCAACCGCACGATCATTACAACAACTATTCTCCTTACAGCTCAACGCAAGCTATTGTCTTTCAGATTGAGAAACAGCTGTAATTCACCACGCGAAACCCAGACGTAATACTTACCGGAGATGTGGCGTCTGTATAGCTGAGAATTCTCCAGAGTCCTTAGCTCCAGGGTCTTTGGATGGCTTGGCCCACACGATCATTTTCAATTCCAGGCTTTGTGCCTTCAACATCATTCTAGGGATGATGTTAAAATGCGTTGATCAGGCAACGAGCCTTTCTAGTCGGGCGATGCCCTCTTACATCGCAGCAGGGGTTAATCCTAAACACACAGCTTCAGTCATTTCGGTGATCATGTCAACAGGCCGAGACTGCTTCACGAGGTGCAGCCAATTCCTCAAGGCATGGTAATGTCTCAACCTGATCAAAAATCTCAACTGCCACGGACAACACTCAGGAAGCCTCAGCTGCCATGCTTGCAGCGACTGCTTACGGGGCCCAAGCGCTTGCGGCCGGCACTTCGGATCACATTCCGCGTGCTCCATCGAGACGCACTTGGGAGGAAATGAGCAAGAGACTGGAATTTGAATAGTGCCCGAAGGACGCAGAAGTAACCCAAAAGACACCTATTCAGGCAAACGTGCAAAACAAGACACCCTTACCCTTGGCGGATTCTAGAATTTGCTGACTGCCGTATATGAAGAAGCCATCTCCTGGCTCGCTTCATAGCTGCCAGTTCAACATGGTCACAGACGTGACGTTTGCTTTTGAGAAATATCCGATATACTTCTCGGACTAAGTATTGACATGTGGTTAGGGCACTCATGATGCCACCGAAGGCAAATGAATATAACTTTGACTATTGAACGCCGTTGTCGACGGTGGATGTGATATCCCTGAGGTAGCATACACAGTGCTCAAAATATGGACACTGTACAGCTGTGCACTGTCCGCTTGGCTCCGTTTCACGTGATTTCACTGTGGGATCAAGGTTTTCCCCCTCGGCCCACGACACTTCCATTTGATTGTCACCGACCAACGCAACCCAAGACACTACAACTGATCCCCAACCAGCAGGCGATGACGCGCGATTGCGTCTTTCCAGACCATCAAAACATGCGATCGACCTGAAATATTTCACGGCGGCTTTTTTTTCCGCAATGGATGCAGGGTACATTACCGCCCACTCCGCGGGCGAGGGCTTACGGAGCTACGGAGTTTGTTGCCTGAATGTGCCGGAGGTCTTTCAGAGCATGGCGTCGTGAACAAGGCTATGGCGGCGGTTTCCATGATACTCATCAGGCAGTTTGACTGTACTTTCGCTGTGCAATATTGCCACATTCGCAAAGCCATGCATACGGCCAACGGACGGAAAGGCCTCGGTGCCGCGACTACCCACCCACCAAGTCTGGCCATTGTGCCAGCTCGACCGGGTCCGACAACGAAACGCAGCGCCGTACCCGGTTGCTGATTATGCGGAGAACGGCGACAGAAGCCCAAGACCTACGTCGCGAAAGACGACGTATTCAAGCGATGCCCAGCGGGTCCGAGCCAGCCGGTCCTCTGATGCTGGCCCATGGGGTTTTTTGCCTCTAGATTCTGAGGAGAGGAAGGCGGCGGTTCTACGCACGGCGGGAGGAGTTTGAATGCAGATCACTATGGGAACTTTTTTCCCTGCCTGTGGAGGACGCCTTGAGATGCACGCCCGATCTATCAACACGGTCCGTGTCGGGCGACATTTGCAGCCGTTACCCTGTGCAAGACGGCCATGGTTATGTGTTTCTATCGACGCTGCCATCATGCTGTCCGTTTCGGCCCTTGCCACTCGGGCAGAGAACACTGAGCAGCAGGCCGGATGGTCTGAATTCTTCTGCCACCGTTCGAAGCAGGTGCTCCGGGGCAGCCACTCGTCGGGCGTGGCTCCAGGAGACTCCAACCAAAACCCGGCCACGTCCGGCTCGTAAATCGTACATAGTGACATTGTTGCGTCAGTCTTGTGCCCAAGTATTGGGGTATCGGCGGAGAGGAGGACAGATAGTATGCTAGGATTTTGGTCTATCTCTCGGTTCAGGCTCAGGCAAGAACTGGATCACCAGTTGATGCTTCCAGGCGTCACAGGACAAGCCAAATTTTTGCCATGGGAGCATCGGTGGAGGTTTCCCCCCCTTCTGTGGTTCTGCAAGTGCACCAAGTTGGGTCGGGGGAAATGGAATGACTGCCGACTTCCTGACGGTTGGTGGTGGCATGCTACAGCGGTGTACGTTCACCGAAGCGCCTACCTGCTGCTCACTCTACAAAATCCGCATATGCGGCAGATTGGGCTGGTGCAATGCTGCCATCTACGCTCCAAGGCGAAATCTCTGCTTATCCACCTGTTGCCTGGATTTTTCCTGCCGACTGCAGCCCCCAGATTCTGTCTTTGGTGGTTCGCATCACCACAGACGCCCACCTCGGCAGCTGCATATCCCGCTTAGCAGGGCAGAGTGTCGCGTTATCGGAAAAACCTCGGCTGGCAACGTGCTCACATTGCATCTAAAAACTCAAATCGAATTGCCTGCTACGATGGAGTCCTACCACCACAACCGACCTCGACATGTCGCCATGAGAGACGACCGCAGACCAGGCGATGAGCGCAGAGACCGAGGCCGAGCTGGTCGAGAAGTGACACGCTCCCGCAGATCTCCTTCACCTCCATCCCGTCGACCTCGGGATTCCGATAGATTGCCAGACAGCAAACCGCGCGACCATCCCAACGACAAGTCACAGCCTTCCTCCCGAGACCACCACAAATCCCGCGATCGCAGCCGAGATCGCCCTCGCCGTGCGTCCCCATCGCCTTCACGTCGCGACAAGTACAAGGAGGATATCCGCGATCGGTCTCGTGGCCGGGACGCCGTTGACTCGCGGCGCGACTCCCGGACCCGGTCACATAGGGATCGCAGCCGAGGACATCCCCGAGGCGACGGCCGTTCTTTATCGCCCTCTGTGAAGCGAACGAGCAGTCGAAGTACGGACCGAGCTACTGCAGACAAGAAGAAATCAAGACGAGACCACAGCCCTCGTCGTGACCGCAAAGACTCGGCCCCCCTTGCGGAGTCACGGCATTCTCGCAGCTCTCCTCGGCCTTCCAGACGATCACCTAGCCCCGATCGCCGGGATTACAGGTCAAAGAACAAGGAACGGAGCCACCGCAACCGCCGGAGCAGGTCACGCTCGCCGGGTCGAGACCGACGCGGCCGAGACTACTCCCCTCCGCGTCGTCGCGAGCCATCATCGACCCGGAGAAGGGACCGATCTCCGCTATCAAAACACCGGCATAGATCCCCTGCACGAGAGTCTTCGACATCCGTCAGGGGTGAGCGACGTCCGGCATCGCCCCGTCGTAGTTCCAGAGGCCGCCAACGTCGCAAGGAATCTAAGTCTCGTGCATCCTCTCGGTCCGCTAGTAGGGGGTCGAGTCGACGAGTGCCGCAGAACGAAGGTTCACGCCAGCCTACAAAGTCTCAGCCATCCTCCGGCGCGAACAGCGTGGAGGTCAACATGGGCGGCAGAGGCAATCACAGGGGAGGCTTTGCGTCTCACCCTGGTTCATTCAACCAACAGTTCAGCGATCCGCGCCAATTCTCCCAGTCCCCGCAGCCGACTCCAAATTCTTACAACGCTTCCCCAAACCACTCACCCTACGGTGCTGGTAGAGGGAACTGGGGCTCTCAGCAATTCTCCCCGACACAGTAAGTTTTCCATCATTCCACCATCTCGTTCTGATTCGTCTACTCACATTCGCATAGTCAATACCCTCAGTACCCTCAATCCAACTTCGGCCCCCCATCTGGACCACAAGGCTCGTACACACCAAACCAATCGTTCTCACCGCCCCCGAGTGCTCCAACCGGACCTATGCAGCCATATTCCCAGGGCAACTTCCGCGGCAGCTTCCGCGGCGGCGGCGCTGCATTCCGAGGCAACCAATTTGGATCTGGTCGGGGGAACTACAGAGGCAATGGTTTCAAGAGTGCGCAGTGGACTTCCAATAACCATGCCTCTGCTTCGCGTGGCCAATTCGGACAAGCGGATGAAGCGAACTCTCAGCAGTCCACGACTCCCGCACAAAGCAACAAGTCAGACGTCGGCGACAATGTTGCAGAGGGCGAGAACCCTTTCCGGCCATCAAAAGACATGCAAGTGGAGGACACGACTCCGTCCGAAAAGACCGGTGAGAGCGATACCCAACGAACTAGCAGAGCGCCGCCCGTCGGCCCGGCTGCTCAGTCGTCGTCGAAGTTCAGCTTTGCGTTTAAGGCGTCTGCAAAGCCCACTCCGACGGCGCCCAAGCCGGAGATCTCTCAGAAATTCAATGCCGTCCCTCAACGACGTGAATCCACTCAGCAAAATGATTCGAGAGACCACGACCGTGATCGCGACCATGATCGGGATCGTGACCACCGGGACAGAGATCGAGACCGTGACCGTGACAGGGACCGTAACCGAGAACGTGATCGCGGCCGGGACCGGGAACGGGACCACCGCGACAGAGACCGGGATATAGATCGGGGGCGGGAGAAGGAGAAGGACAAAGCCGCCGACAGAGACATCCCTCGCGGGGCTCCGACCGAACCTGCGTCGGCCAGAGCTCGCCAGGATTCAAGGCACCTACCACCCCCTGGGCCCCGTCAGCCCCCTGCACCAAGGACTCGCAAGATCAAGAAGACTATGCGGCGGCTCAAGCCTGGGCCGGTATTGCCTGAAGACCTGAAGACTTCAGATTCAGTTTACTTCCGCAAGCCTGGCAACGAGTCTGTCGTCGGTTCGGGCACCTATGGCAAGGTCTTCAAAGCTTTGCACGTCTACACCAAAGGCTTGGTCGCTCTCAAGCGCATCCGGATGGAAGGCGAGAGAGACGGGTTCCCGGTCACAGCCATCCGAGAGATCAAGCTTCTCCAGTCACTACGCCATACCAACATTGTCCAGCTACAAGAGGTCATGGTGGAGAAGAACGACTGTTTCATGGTTTTTGAATACCTGTCCCACGATCTGACAGGTATTCTGAATCATCCTACCTTCAAGCTAGATGCGGCCCAGAAGAAGCACATGGCCAAACAGCTTTTCGATGGCCTGGACTACCTACATAAGCGCGGAGTCCTCCATCGCGACATCAAAGCTGCCAACATCCTGGTTAGCAGCGACGGAATTCTCAAGCTTGCTGACTTTGGTCTCGCACGATTCTACGCGAAGAGACACCAGCTGGATTATACCAATCGTGTTATTACCATATGGTATCGCTCGCCTGAACTACTTCTCGGCGAGACGCAGTATGGCCCAGCCTGCGATGTCTGGAGTGCTGCCTGTGTCATGGTGGAGATCTTCACCCGCCATGCCATATTCCCCGGGGATGGAAGCGAGATCAACCAACTGGATAAGATATATGCCGTCATGGGAACACCGAACAAGGCAGAATGGCCTGGGCTGGTGGACATGGCTTGGTTCGAGTTACTAAGACCAGGTTACCGGCGGGCAAACTCTTTCGCCGACAAGTACCAAGACAGATTGCCTCCTGCCGCCTATCGCCTGTTGGCCGCCATGTTCCGTTACGACCCTGCGAAGAGGCCGACAGCTGCAGAGGTCCTCGCGGATGAATACTTTACCACCGAGGAGCCTCCTCCAAGGCAGGCTGTTGAGTAAGCACTTCCACCCGCAACTGTTTAGATGACATTCAACTAACAAATCAACTAGGCTCGCTACTCTGGACGGTGACTGGCACGAATTCGAATCCAAGGCACTCCGACGCGAGAACGAACGCAAAGAAAAGGAGGCTCGGCGCGCCGCAGCGGCGTCCGCCAAAGACAACAAGTCTAGAGAGAGAAAGAGGGAGAACGATGCTCACGATGAGCGTGGGGAAGCTAAGAGAGTTCAGCTCGAAGGCAAGGCAGCCGTGCCTGCCGAACGCTCGAAGGCCTAGAAGACCTGCCCATTTTGAAGCTGGGCTGCCTTGGCTTCTGCCAGACGTGGTGCAGCGCATGGAACGGCTGGCCATGGTGGTACACATATATCCTACTTAACACACAAACCTGCATTTGTTGCGTTGGCATGGCGTTGGGGAACTGAAACTTATGGTTGAACGAGAAGGCATAGTTGCTCTGAGGCTTTGTGAGCAAAGGGTTCGTTTTTTAAACTTGACATGTTTCATCGCTGGTCAGCGAGATTCCCCCCTACTAGATGGATTTGGAGACACGACGGACGGGCATGGGATGGCTTCTCATCGTGTGGCTGTAGGATTAGCTGGTAAATGCATGTGGGATGCGTCTCGGACTAAACTGTGGGCGTCGAGATATGAATATACCAACAGATGGGGCGGACTCAAGCCATCTGTTCTTGCAAACATGACAATGCATCTCTATGTGATGGGCCTCCGGTACTTGATTAAGTCTCTGAGGTCGTGTTTGATGGTGACGAGGATACGGGAGGTTTAGATCAACGACCACACTCGTCTTTCGTTCCTCCCACACCACATGTTTCTTGCTCTCGCTATAGTACAATAGAAAGTCAGTCTGGTGTTCTGCAGACTTTACTCTTATCGGCAAGAGGCAGTCTGTCTTGCCCAGAAAGTGTACCGCGTAGCTGTCGTGCACCGGTCTTGGATATATGTAACCGAATAAGACAACACCGGCAAAGATGAGAAGAGTGGTTAAGTTTGAGCCCCAGGCAACGAGTCTCTGGGAGGTAAAAGGGTTATCTTCCTGCCTTGTTGCTCTCCCTCTTGTGCTGTCGCCCGAAAAGATTCAGAGGTTGGATCGGCAACCATTGCATTGTTGTGCCGTCAAATGTTGACGTCCTCGCCATCCGATTATGTATCAAGAAAAGCCGTGAGAACCAGGCTGCTCGAAGTCGGTTACAAACAGAGTCTTACTGAAAGTGAGGAGGGCTTAAGGGATGTTTGTTGTGTGTGGAATGATACCTGCTCTCATTGATGTGTCCATCGTGCCTACACTGGTCATTGGAAGGTGATGAAGACGATAAGGGTAGAGTCATTTATGGGTCATTATGAATCACTTGAAAGTATTCGGCTTGTATAGCGGCAAGAAAACGAGAAGGAAGACCACGTCCGCACTGACAGCGTATGCGGAGGGACATTGCATGATCGTCCCTTACCCCTGATGGTTCGCAGCCAGGCGCAAGGTCAGAAACACCTTCGATGACCTTCAATTCGGTTGGCAATGCCTCAATTTCGCTCACAGGCCCGTATACATAGACAACCTCTTGTTGTGTCTTAACGGTCTCTGATCTATGTCTCAAAATTTAGAGAGGTGGTAGGGCTGGGGTTGTTCAGCCGTAACCTATTGTCAGCTCGAGTCTATGCGGGCTTCAGGTCGAACTAGCATCTGATATGGAATCCCGCGTCGTCCGTGGTCTCTGAGAAGAGTCGGTCAAAACCCGTGCGAATACGCTCTGGAGGGTATTGCAGACACGAACTCGCAAGGCCTGGGTGGAGACTCGCGGTGGACGGCTGTGGTAGTCAGCTATTCAGGGTTTCTCTCTCGGGACACTGGTCTTAGAAGAGACTTCTTCTTCTTCAGGTCACATTTGGGAACATGAGGCCTAACGTAAGTACTCGTACTTATACCGAACAGACAACCAACGCCCTCCCTTTTGCGTGCGTCCGACTCGCGAGAATGCTACGCCTCGTCATATCTCCGGGCAGTCATACGTATAATAGATGGATTAAAAGCAGGTATTCCAGCATCACAAATGTCTGAAATCGACTTGACTTTCATTCATAAGGCTGGTTGTACATGCCAATATCCACATGCAATGTTGGCGATACGTGCAAACTAGGATGTCGGATTCCTGACTGACTGACATTAATGTGGTAACATGCTGTTCTTTCCAGCACCCTTCATCTCTGGCCAATTATTCATTCCAATTGGACAAAAAAATTAGAGCACGGCAGTTCCGCTGACATTGAACACACAGCCGTGCAAGTCCCAACGACGCCTTCCTTCACCATCCCAGTCAACACCAACGGTAGGTACACAACAAGAGAATCAAGAAGAATTATCAAGAATGTTTGCTCGGGCCCCTCTAAGTCCCTCTATATACCTTGAAGACAGTCCTGCTAGCATGCCTCAAGTATTGGCCTGCTTCACGATGACGAGTACGTAACCAGGACATGTCACTGGTGGCTATTTAAACGACGCTTTATTCGGAAAATGAATGCCAAAGCCGAGAAACAAAACAGAAAGCGCCCTCCATGCAACCTATGAGGAATGAGGACTTTCCCCCATAACTTGAACCAACGCGAATAAAGACATGTACGAGCATTATGCTAGGCCCCTTTCTAAGCCTAATCTTATAGCATACTGTTCTTCAATTTTCTTAGAAAGTACGTCTGTATACGCACAAACAAGAGAACATGGTGATGTCGGTTGCACAGATATACATCCTAGTGCGAGGTCTGTAAACCAGGGCGCACAGAAGATCACAACCACAGCCCGCAGCTGTATGTCCACTATAGGAAAGAAGATTCCACTGGCGTTTGCGGCAGAGGTTGCGATGCCGCCCCCTAATCGCCCTTCTATTGAAGCGTGTCGCTGACTGTATGTATACCCTTGACTGTCGACATACATGCGCATTGCTTTACGTTTTCTGCTCAGGGGGCCGTCAACGTGCGTATGATTATGGTTTTTCTTCATGGGAAGCAGAGATCATGAGGACCCCCTTATGGCCAAGTGGATGGCTGCTGACCATAGGCAATTAGCCCAGAGGCACCCGAATTAGCAAATCCGACGTTATGTCCCACAAGGCAGTGAAGATCGCGACTCTACGCCAGCTGAAGTTTTCAAACAAAAAAACATTCTTGCTTTTGGATCTCATATTTTTGGAGTATCTTACAAGCCAAACACACCTCGAGACAACCCTGCAGGAACACTCAATATGACGCCGCATGAAAATCTCAATTTGAAAGAACCGCCTATCCTAGCAAACCCTTTCCGCATCTGGCTAATCTGTGCATCATAAAAAAAGTCGTAAATCATCGTCAAAATCGTGAGCTGTACTGGTTACAGATGGCGAGACAAACACCCATTTGCGTCTCTTGTCCTTTTGTGTATGTCCTTTTGCTGTATATGGGTATCGTAACCTTTTTTGGTAAATCCTTTTTGGTTGCGGGAAACAAACCATCGCCGCTGCACCGTATCGTCCAGTCATGTATACCGTAAAAGGCGTCTGTTTCGCCATCTTCCCAAGTTGTCATCGTGTTGCCATCTCAAGCCTGGCCTTCGATGGCCTTTCCCTTGTTCTTAGTGTCAGTTGTCTTGAGCAGATCCCGCAAGCTTCCCTCGGCATGGCTCCTGGGAACACCGCCTTGAGCGGAAGTCGATCCCAATCCCACGATGGGCGGTAGTCTCCAAGGCACCCAGCCGGTGAGCCCTGCCAAGAGACCCTTGGGGTTCTTCGTCTGATCGAGCTGGGTTGAAGTTTCGCGCTGTTGTGGTTTGGACACTTCGTGCTGCAGTCTTTCGTCCGAACCTTTGCGGGCATGGCGATGCCCCACGCTCTCTTCTACATCCGTCCGAACTTCGAGGTGGCTCGTCGAAGTCTTCGGCAGAGCCGGCTCGCTCACCAAAGCATTCGCCGAGCTTCGTGGTGATGCCTGGTTGCTGGCCGTTAGGCTCTGTCGTGTGCTCCCTAGCATGGCCGTCGCGAACGAGGACGACTTTCTCCTGACCAGAGGAGGCGACTGGTCATTCTCTTCTTGTTTCAAGGGCCCTTGCTCTTCACTGACTGTAGACGAAGGCGTCGTGCTGCCTGACTTCCGAGCTGCTGCCCTACCTCGTACCTCTGCTGTAATCTCAGCTGCCGACTTCTTCTTGGACTTATCTTCCTCGGAAGACCGGCTGGACGACATGATGGTCTCAAGCGTCCCCATTGCTATGCTCCTCCTCCTACCATTACTGCGTCGCTTCCTATGTCTTCGTTCATCATCTGATACGGCTTCCAAAGTAGGTCCCACGCTGCGACGCTGGCGTCGGGAAGATGATGCGTGGCTGACGAAGGACGCGCCGGAGCCATGAGGCGCGACGTGAACTTCATACTGGTTGCTCAATGAGTATCGAGACCTGGCACATATTTCAGCGATGCGGTCCAGGTCGGCGTTGATGTTGTTGTCCCCCTCCTGCGACTCGATGTTGGCCATCATGCTCTTGAAGCCGAAAGCCTCTACGGGAGGGAGCTTGGCCATAGCCTCTTGTCCTTCCAGTCGCTTCTTTGCCATTCCTCTGGCCATGCTTAGACCGCCATTTTGAGCCGACTTGCTGCCGCCAAAGGGTGTTCGCAGAGCAATGATGCGCCGAACAGATGCCGCCGGGCCGCTCACAACGGATGAGGTGGACCTTGGGCCAAGACCGGCGCTACCACCGTTGCTCCGATTTGTGCTCGTGGGTCGGCTATGTGAGCCAGAATATGTCCTGACGATGACTGGCTGTGAGTAAGTACTGCTTTGGGCGCCGGTAGACTTGGCGTAGCGGTGACGAGACGGGTAATTGCTGTTGAGCTCGCGCAGAGCTGAAGTGCGGTGGGCGGCAGTGCTGTCGTCAAGAGGTATGGGCTTCCCCTCTGCAGTCGAAGGAATAAGTGAGGTCGAGGACGTGTTGGGTTGGAAAAGCGGGGGAAAAGAGAAGGTCAAAGAGTCTCGCGTCGCTTTCTTGGACGCAAGTGGAGGGAACAGCGTCGTGGCCGAAGAGCTCCCAGTATGAGACGCGGAGGTAGGATGGCGGGATTGGGATGGACCGGAATGGTCCTTTGGTGGGATCTTCCCCGAGTCCATCTTCACAGTGAATGGCGTGTCGTGGGATGGGCTTTATATGTGTACATTCATAAAGGCAGCATGAGCTGCTAGGGTAGCAGTGAGGAGCTCAGAGCAGGTGGTGTTTTCTGTCGTGCGGCAGGTAGTGAGAAAAACAGGAGAATCAGATCAGCGAATGCGGAGGCATGGCTGTGTCGGTTCTCGCGTGAACAAGTGTCGAATGTCGTTTTTTGACTGGGTTGTAGGTCGCGCGGGCGAGCATATGCAGGTAGGTTTTAGCAGCGGTGCGTCTCGTCCGTTCGGGATCTCTCGCCTTCCACTTTCGCCGGGGTGGAGTTGGGGAAAGTTGAGACAGACAGAAGCTGGCTCGTAAATCGAGGATGGAGAGAGAGAAAGAGAGGGCGGCGTGAGACAGACAGAGGCGGCCGAAGGAGTAGTTGATGCGATGGTGGATACTGTCGAGGATGCAATCCGGATCGCCTCGAGGCGCGTGGACGGCGTCGACGCACGAATTCCCTGCAGCAATTGCAGTTCCTTCGCAGAGAGATATGGACTGGGGGCTCTGAGAGGGGGATGGGAGCAAAACAACAAATAAAGAGAAAAAAAAAGAGGAGGAGGAAAAATGGCTTTGCAGTGTTTAGGGTGAAGTTGCATCCGGTAGTAGGGATAGGCGGGGGAACTACCAATAGCTGGGAGATGGTACTTTCAAGACGCAGCAGACGGCGCCGTTTTTTGGTAGGTAGAAAGGCAACGCAAGTAGGCCTGTCGCCTGTCTGTCCTGTCTGTCCTGTCTGTCTCTCAATGTGCCCCGAAGCTGACTATCACACATGCGGGCAAGGAGCAACGCAGCACCAGCGAACGAGCAGGTGCGTGCTGCACGAGTGTCGTGGCTGCCGTTCAAAGGGTGGACCGACCCCGACCCCCCTGTCCACGACTGTGTCTTTCCGTCCAATGACAGCTGTCTGGGCCGTGCCAAACGAACACACTGTCGGACGGCCACACTGTCCCCGCTGCCGTTCTTGCTCCGGTTCGTGGTTCCCCTCCCCTCCTCAGGCGACTCGGGCCATTCCCAACCTGCCATTCGACGCCCAGGCCACAGCCAAATCTGACCAGTCACCAGCACCAAGCAGAGTATGGCGACTGGCTAGCCACACCAGCTACTTGCTAGACCAGACCGTATCAGGTCGTTTTTCTCTCAACTGAGGATAGGTAGGAAAGGACGGTTGACGTGGTCGTCTCTCCGGGCAACTGATGTTTACGGCTGTTCAAAGTGCAAATTGCTCGTACGCTGTCCTTTCCAACCCGTGTAAGACGTCAGAGCCGTGGGAAAGCGCATATTGCTTCGCCATCATCATCTTATGTCTCTGCCCTACCGACCGCCGCTGTGGACCCGACCACGGCCATTCTGGATCAATGGTCACCATCCACATGGCCCCGGCCGGGCCAATTCTGCCGGCTCTTCCACATTCGTCCTCCGGGCCGTCGAGGCGCATGCTACCGTTGTCCTCGTCTGCATCTTCCAAGGTCAAGGTTGTTATCCGTGTTTCTCGCGGCCACCATGTCTTCAACTCTCCCTTGCCTATCGGGTGTTTACTCTACAACGTGGCGATGGGCGAGGACAAGGTCGGATGCGCTGGCACACAGATCCGGCGCAATAATCTGCACACGCGCCAGGCACGCACACGCCGTTGGTCACGTTTGGAGTATAGTGATTTGTTTTGATTTTTGCTTGATTAATCATATATCCATGCCGTCGTCAAGTAAGCTCTCGCTCGTAAACCATACACCCTCCAAGCCACCAGCGCTGGCGATGCGTCGTGCTGCGTGGAAACTAGCAGCGCCGTCGTCATGTACTTGCCGCGTGGAAGCACTCTGCTGCAGCCACCAAAAAAATCCTCTCCATCGCTACGCGCCATCACTCTGAACACCGATCGCCTTTAAGCCGTCGGTTGGGCAATCGTTCCGTAGCCCTGTCCACCGCTCTGGACTCTGTCGCTGTAGACACCAGGCGCGCGACCGGTCACTATGCGGCCCTCACGCGCCTGCTCGCGACGGTCGTAGTAGATGTATTCGACGTAGAAGGCGTGAATGTGTCCCGGGATGTATCCGAGAATCGTCAAGCAGATGTTGACGAGGAGATCTACCGAGCCGCGGGGTCAGTTTATGCAAGCCAAGGATAAGAGCGTCGTGCGATTCATTGCGGCACTTACCCATTCCACAGCCAGCAACGGCATAGACACCGACGGGCGGAACTGTAGTCAACTGTCAGCGCGAGGATTCTCGTGGTGCCGGGCAGGGTCAGGACGAACTGAGGATGGTGATGAGGATGAGGAACACAGCAGAGATTGCGCCCATTGTGCCGGTTTGTCTGATGTCTGTGGTTGAGTTTATGTGGGGTCGAGGATGATGCTTGATGAAGAATGTCCAAGTGTGAAGACGAAGAGGCAAGATCTGCTAATCGACTGAAGTGCGTTCAAGGGTATCACAGTATTGGGATTGTTGTTGCGGGACAACACGATGACAGTCCCAGCCGAGGCGGACAGAAGCTTAAATGCACCGACCAAGCTCAGACACGCAAGGAAGGCAGGCGAGCGGCCAAAAATTGCCGTGCCTTGTCTTGTTTTGGGTAACAGATTGCGTGTATGCCCGGACGCCTCCCTCTATTGCCAGCCAATGTTCTGGTCGAGTCTCATCGTGGCGCGGACTGGACGGCCTGTGAATGACGTAACCTGCACGTGTCGTTTCACTTCGCCAGCAACCGAACCTCGCGCTCGCGCTGCCTGCCCTGGACTGATGTATCTGAGTCTACCTAGGCCCCAGCTGGACCTTCTTGCTGGACGCGACCCTCAACACCAAAGATGTCAAGTTGACACAGTTGGGTAGGTGTTGGCAAGCGCTCTTACTTAACCACCTTCCTCCTATGCCCTGGGTGGCCATTGGGGCCTTTTATGTCTTGGTCTCGGCCCCGGCCCGCTGCGTATTTCTGTCCCACAGCGCCTCCTGATCACTTGATAACAGCCGTCCACCAATCTGATCCCTCGGTGAGGAGCTGCAGCGGCTATCATCACATCCACCCATTCGGGAGGTCGACTTCGGCACCACTTGGGGCCCAAGCTCCCGGCCACACACACCCTTTGCGGCAACAAACCTCGCAAACCCGCTATGAATAGACGCATCTCATTGTGAGGCACATGGTGAGGCGATTGCTGCTCTAGGGATAGCTTCCTGGCTGCACCCTGTGCCTGAGACATGCAGTCTGCCCTTTCCCGGGGAGCCCAATCAGATGGAACTGCGGAGCCATATCTCGAGCCGAATGTCCACGTCCACAAGGCAGATAAGAGCATTGAGCTTGAGCAAAGGTGCGATTGCGATGACATGCTGCTTGGCTCGAGCACCAGCTTTCATTGCCTGACGTAGGTGACGCAATTGTTCAGATTGAGCTTAATGGATCCTGCCGAAACAGCCCATCTGCGAGGCACTCGATCGTCTGGTGGTTGCCAACAACGCGGGAGGCATGATCTCGAGCTGAGTGTCGCTTTGTTGTAACAGTTGTAGACAAGCTGAACATTGCTTTCAAGTTTGAAAGCTTATGTGTCATTGACAAGGCATTCATAAGACACGATACCGACGGCCCCCTCAACCTGGATCGACCGCTGGCTGTACCAGGACCTAGGAACAACGAGATGTATCCGGAACATCATCCGGGGTTCCGTACTCCTCCTGACAACGAAGCCGGCTGTCGATCACAGGTGCAGAGAAACTACACTGCAACAGGGAACAGCGCTGCGGTCGTGCTTCACAGCCAGCATTTGAAACGGCGGGACGCGTAGCCGCACCGTTAGCCACGACTAACATGCGCAAACAAACAATACCATCCGCCCACAACGTTTCCATAACCGGTCAATTGCCTTTCGGCTTGCTGCCAACTTCTCCAGCCGGGGGGCTAGACAATCGTGGCAGTTTTGGAGCTGAGATTCACTGTCGCAAAGCAGAAGGCGATGTCAAGCTTGATCCAGGCACCACGATGTGAGAGTTTGTGCACCCTTGAGAAGGAGGCAGACGGAAATGAGGCAGGCCGGCGGACGGGCCATGGTTGTCGAATTCGACCCCCGAGCGGTTTACAGTCGCATGCCGCCGTCACATCGGCGGACAACGGAGTATTCCGCGGGTGCCGAAACCCCCCAGTCGAAAGCGAGATGGCAGAAGACTGATTCAAGGTCCAGAGACAACGGGCGTCTGCGAGATTGTAAGCGGTGACTCGAGGAAAAAGGCTGGAGAGATATGATCGATTAAAATTGGCAGAACGAGGCTGTGATCTGGTGCCGAGCCCTCGTGTAGTAGAATTGGGCTCGGATATTACTGACGATCAGCTTTCCAGCATACGTCTAGGCAGTGCCACGCAGAGTTGATGCACGGGATGTTCGCAGCACGGCGGTTGATGAAGTCGACGACATTGGTGGGCATGTATA